AACCTCGCAAAGTTTCTATAAATAGCATCATCTTTGCTATTCCAAGGTACACAATTTTACATACAAAAAACCCAAAAGACTACATTCTGTTTTTCTCTTCATATTATCAAACTAGTCACTGATTTGAGTGTCGGAGGAAACAAGGCCTCTAGCCCCTGTTATGTTGTGTAGGGAGTTGCTTTTCAGCATACTCTTCAAAACAATCAGTCATCGGGGAAGTTTAAGGGACCCCAAGATCATCCTTACCTCTCCTAAACCACACACTAATCTCCCCACACCAACAACGAGTAATGGAGTCATTGTACAAGGCATACATAGAGGCAATGCACCAGCCAGTCATTCGAACACCTCTCGGAGCTCACGGTATATTATACGGAAGGCCATCATTCTAATAAACTTAAGATATTTTCGTGGAGATTAAGTCACAACATACTTCCTACAATAGATAATTTAAATTAAATAGAAGAGGTTCGCCTATTGAATCAAGGTGTAATGTGTGCACGCGTATTCCAAATTGCCCTTTATAACGACATACTTTATAACAATTTTTTCCCTTTCTTTGTATATAAAAAAGATAACAAGAGATTTTTTAAACAATTTTTTTTACCTCAACCCATATTAATGTGTGGGCTGGAGCCATTGTATGAAGCCCAATTCATTTCAACGATAAGTGTGGCGAAATAAAGAAAGAGTCCAACTCATGACAACTTTAGGCTCGAGCTTATTGCATACAAAGATACAATATTTCCTGTGAATAACAAAAAAATATGATAAAAGATTTCATGAGATACTCTTATATTTTAAAGAAATATTTAGAGAAAAGATATTAACAATGACAGAAATAATTCAAAATAAACATACATATAAAGGTGAATTAATCAAATCATTCTTTTATATAAAATGAGAAATTGATGGTACTCCTAAATACATAAAAACTGATATGTGTCATTTTTAAAGACACAAAAATTAACACGCGTCCATATTATAAATAGTCACATATCATTTTATCCTATCAGAATGTGACACGTAGACACATAATCTTATTATTACCTAAGAATTATCATCAAGTTAAAACTATTCATAATTAGATATTCTAATATTAGAATAGTTGGTAATCATAATCAAATTATAAATTACCTATATTTAAAAAAAATTTAACAGCCATGTATATAGGCATAGAAATTAAAGAAAAAAAAAATTGATATAGAGAGTCTCTCTACATAAAATTATTTATAAAAAATTATACACATGCCAAATTACATTTATAAAAAGAAATTCAAAAATTACAAAACAACCCTTAAGAAAATAAAATTACAAGGAGCCTCCTAAAAATCTAAAAGTTACAAATAGGCCCATAACAAATACAAACAACCCCAAAAAACCTTGGATTTGTAAAACCCATTAAAATTTAAAAATTATACACTACCAAAGAAAATTTTGATAATTAAAAAATAACCTCTTAAAAGTACGAAAAATGACAAAATGTCCTAGAAAAATTTGAAAGTTAAAATAGCTCCCAAAAGATTTTGAAAATGAAAAAAAAACCATAAAATTAAAAAGCCCCAGAGATTACAGATAAACCCCTAACATATATGAAAATTACAAATAACCCCATAAAAGATAAGAAAATTACAAAGAACCCCCAAAATCAGAAAATTGAAAATAAATCTTAAAATTTTTAAAACTTTAATAAACCCTGGGAAAGTTTGAAAATTGCAAGCAAACTCTTAAAATTCAAAAAACAACAAAAACCTCATTGAAATTCAAAAATTACCAATAACCCTGAAAAATACATGAAAACTCAAAAATTACCAATAATCCCTTGAAGAATCTAAATATTACAAATAACACCCCTTAAACGTGAAATTAAAAACACCTTAAAATTGAAATATTCTAACGGACCCCTAAAAAATACAAACATCCTAGTAGAAAAATAAATATTACAAACAACCCCATAAAACTCTAAAAATCAGAACCTTTATAAAACTCTAAAAATCAGAACCTTTAAAAAAATTCTAACTTTGGAGACAACCCCTTGAATAATCAAAAAATTGTAAGAAAACTTTTACAATTAAAAAATTGCAAACAAACCTCTAAGAACCTTGAAAGTTAAAAAATAATCCCCTAAAAATCCAAAAAAAAAAAAAAATACTAATAACCTTCTAAAAATTCTAAAGCATACAAAGATACCCCTAGAGAATCTAAATGTAACCACCAATTATTGGGGTTTTCTTCCAGAATTTATTGAAGGTTAAGACAAAACTTAAGTCTTATTGGTAATTTCTGCTTAAACTAGAATTTATTGAAGGTTAAGACAAAATAGTACTCCAAAAAATATTTTTTGGAGCACCGACTTTCAGTTTCGTGAGTTAATAGTCTCAATTAATCCCTCTTTTATTTAATTTGTTCCAACTATTACCTTTTTTATGAACTAAAAAGCTATCACGTTTTTAAATTTAGGTGAATTGATCTTTTCAAGTGGTATTGTTCTTATTTTGATACCCACAAGCGAAAAATATAATGGTTTCATGTTTTATTCATGATGCTTTTAGTCCCTCGGTGGATATTAATTGATGGTATAAATCATTTGTCTGGTCATATTCATAATAAAAATGAAATAAATACAAACAAATCATACATGCATGACAAAGATATCAGACCCGTTTGTGTGAGCATGGACATACTATTTGTGACACATCTTATCTTAAACTATTATAAAAGTGTGTAGCATGTTAAAACATGTTCTTACGAAATGCACTCTAATTTATGCTAAAACACATACATACATAAAAACACATATATACATATAAATAATACCCCTTCAAATTCTTCTCACAATCCCAATTAAATTAAATTTAATAAATACCCCTCTAAATTACATCCACTACCATTAGAAAATTACTTTAGCTAAACCCTCAATCCCTCTAATTTCCACATTGTTATAACCCCCTTCTTTATGATTGTTTATTATTACTAGTGCATTGCACATGCATTTCACGTGAGCATACTTGATATGTTTTATGTTTTTCAAAGTTTTTTGTTAGCTGTAAAATACTAAAATGACTTGTATAGCAATATAAATTCTAAACAATTACAATTTTTTAAATGAATAAATTAAAATAGAATTTTGTATAAAGAACTATATGATTAATTATTATAGTTTGGATAATTGTTATAATTTATTCATAATTTATTAGAATATTTATAATATATTAAATAATTTATTCACTTTTAAATATAATAATATTATACGTAGAATAATTATAATACTATTAATAAACACATTTTATTACACTATTAGTAAATAATTTACTAAATTGTATAATTATTAAATTACAACTAATGCAATTTATTAATTTAAAATAAACTATTTAAAATCACTATACTATTAATACTATTACAATTACAATAATACAAATTGATTTTCATACTATTATCATACTTTTAAAAGGTTAATAAGATGAAATGTAGGAGATAGTCCTCCATGAGACTAAGACGTGAAACCCAAATGCAAAAGACATAAGAATAATGAATTTTTATTATTTTTAATTTAATTTTTCTATAATTTTAAATATTATGTAAATATAAATTAGGGATGCATGTCAAATATTCTATTAAATAACATAATTAAATAATAAAATAATTGTGTGACCAAAAGTTTTGAAAAAGTGAGAAAATACATAATTAATAAGAGGTTACATATAATTAGTGAATGATTAATTAGAACTAATGACATATTTGAGAATTATCAAACTTAAAAGGGCAAAAATAGAAATCAAAAGTTTTGACAAGGCAATCCTCTTTTATATGTAACTAGTATACAATACGTGCGTTGCACGTGATGCATATTAAGAAACTACTTGATTTTAAATATTTGTACACCAAATAATTTTTTAATCACCAATTTATGAACCCCACATAAATATTTAAAACCTACTTTGTTAAAACTCAAAATTAACAAACGCCTGAATAAAATAACAAATCCAAAGATAAATGAAAGAAGAACATTAATTTTCTATTAAAAACTAAAAACATTAACACTACAGACTTAACGCCAAAGTTAAATGAGACCACCACTTGACAAAAGCATGCAAGTAATAGATGACTATAAAAATCAGTGAACCTCACATAAATGCATTGCAAATAACACCGAATCAAATTAGCTGTATATTCTTTACTATAAAAATAGGAAATTCTTATTGGAAAAGTGATAAATAAAGCTAATGCCAACTTGCAGGTTGATGGCTTCCCAATTGAAGAAAAGAGCAAATTAACAGAAAAACTTTCATTGTTACATAGGAAATGTTTGGCTCATAATACTTTAAACAAACAAACACTATTTAAAATGTACTTATTAAATCAACACAGTTGCAATATCCTTGACATAATATTTTAAATAAACATAATTAAGTGTATTCATCATAGTGCTATAAATGATGTATCACTTCTCACTTTCTATTTTAATATTTTTATTATTCATGAACTTTCTTTTGTTCATATCTTTTTTCAGGCTTGTCATACTTTTTCGCTTCAGTGAAATGTCCTTTGAATTTTCATCTTCATCACATTCTATTGGTTCGAAGTTGTTTAGGCTGCATATTTCTTGAGCGGTTATTCTTCCTTCATTTCTTTTCTCTTCATCTTTCCTGTTCATTTTTACCAAGAAAAGATATTCTTTGTCGCAACAGCTCATCATTTTCTGGTACATAGGTGATAAGTGCTCCTGCATTATATTTATGGTCATTTTTTCTATTTTACTAATTTACTAATTTTATGGAACAAAGATTTTATATATTTGAAATAAATAATGTTATATTACCTTTCCTTCTTCATCAAATGAATCTACATATTCTTCAGCAGAACAACCAGTTAGATACCGAGCTTCATCGAAAAGTGTAACATATGCCTTGTCGATATGATCTTTAACTTCCATTCGCATAAGGTACCTTGATGTGAAATTTAATGTTATTTTTATTTTTTTAATAAATAAAATTTAAAACTTATTTTATTTCCCATTCCGCATCTTCAGTGTTGTAATTGTTGTAGTTAGCTATGCTGTCTTCAACAAAAACCTTTCTTTGACAACTCTTGCATGCGGTGTAACAAGGTGATTCTGGATTGATTATTGCTGATATCTCCGCTTTAAAGTAGGAATACATATTCTAAAAAATAGCAATCAAGTTATAAATTCAAAATTTATTAATCTCCGCTTTAAAGTAGGAATACATATTCTAAAAAATAGCAATCAAGTTATAAATTCAAAATTTATTACTATTTATCTTGTTAATATCTTAACCAATATAATAAAATACCTGTTTCGTAGCTGTTGATGATGTGATGATATCACCAAGCATAACCTTCTTAGACCTTCTCATTAGCTTCGATGGGGTCTGCTGCATCAGTTTCTCATAATTTTTCCCCTTCACTGTCATCCTATATTCAAGACATGTATTATTATTTTTTTCAAAATTATATTAGGAAGGATTTTATTTGCATAAGCATTACCATTCTTTAAGAGTGTGTGCTTCAGTAATGTTTGGGTCTATCAAAAATATTGTTGCAGGCTTTGATGATAGTTGCGGAACTCCTGTATTCATTATATGGTTACTTTTTTGTTATATAAATTTTTTAAAACAATTAAATTGAAAAGTCTTACACATATATCTATTTGCAGTAACATTAATTATTGCTATAATTGGTTTTTGTTTTTTCTTGTCTTCGAATACTTGACCTTCTTTCTCTGCATGCTCTCCCCATAATGTTAATACCAATGGATCCATCCTGTGTCAATTAAAAAAATTGTTAAATGGATATGTTAGTATTTTAATATTTGTTATTGAAAAATTATTTCTTATTTAAAAACACTTACTCTTCATTCATTATTGTGATCTCCCTTCTAACTGATGTATTTGTTGTGTACAACGGTCTCACTAAAGTGATGAATCCTAACACATCTGTATAAAGATTAAAATTTTAATGCTTAAAAAATTAATTTTGTATTACAAATGCTATGTTTTTAAGATTAAAAATTTAGCATACCGAAAAATATATTTTCATTATTTGTCTTTGTCACCTCTTCGAATGGCTTGAATGAAAATGGTAGGGTACCGATATTGATTTTATTTTCGGATACTATAATTTTTGTGTTTTGTCCAAAAGCAAGCTCAAAATTCGGATTCACCGATGCATATTTCCTATTTATAGGCCTGACTATACCATTCTTGATGATAATGGTATTGCTGAGATGGATGTATTCCTCAAATGTTGCTATTGTAGCATTGAATAATGTGGCTTGAATCTTTTTTCCCTGTATTTATTTGTTGTTACTTAAACTTTAAAATAAATTACCAGTTAAGTAAAAATTTAATGAAATTCAAATGTAATAATAAATATTTTATTTGAAGAGTTGTACTTACCTCTTCGTCAATCACAATAATCTTTTGAACCTGAGCTGAACCTTTTGACGATGAGAATTGCTCCAAGGACACTTTTAGTATAAGCACTTTGATTGAGAAAGATTCTTGATATAACTTCAAATCCTTAATGAAGCTGTATTCACCTTTACGTTGTCTTTCAGCAGTCATCTTCCATGTAACCATAATAAACATTAAAAATATCAAATAAAGTAATTTTTACAAATTATAATAATGATATTTATTTTTTTCACCATCTTCTTATTGCAATATTTATTGCTATAAAATAATTAAATTTTAATTTTGATATTTTTGTTATTGACATTTATTTAAAATAAATAAGTTTGTCATTTAAATGTTTTTTTAACCTTTCTCTAGATAGAACTTCTTTGTAGACGATATTTTTGGTGTATGTATATCCTTTCTTTTGTTTTCTTTCGCCTTTAGGATAGAACTTCTTTGTAGACGATATTTTTGGTGTATGTATATCCTTTCTTTTGTTTTCTTTCGCCTTTAACCAGCACTCTTGTATTGTTTGTTGATACACCACGAGATAAAGCGACGTATAATTGTCCATGTGAAAAAATATGGTGTGGTAAATAAATACCCACTGTACGAATTGTTTGTCCCTGTGCTTTGTTTATTGTCATTGCGAAGCATAACCTTATAGGAAATTGTTTTCGTTAAAATTTGAAAGGGTAATTTTCATTTTCAGCTGGTGATAATGGTATCCTTGGAATCATGACTTCTTGACCCGCATGATTATTTTTTGTTATTTCCGCTTTAATAATATTTTTATCAAATTCTTTGCAAACCATTCTAGTTCCATTGTAAAGTCCATTTGATGGGTCAAGATTTCTAAGCAACATTATCGGGCAATTCTGCTTCAGCTTTAGCTTGTGCGGTGGAAGACCATTAGACATCAACTTGTTTAAAAATTCTTCTTGGTAGTAGTAATTTGGATCATCAATAGCCTTGTCAAAACTATGGAAAATAATCTCATCACCAGGAAATTTATCCAAAAGCTTGTCATTGAGCTCATCTACATATTCATTTTTTGTCGCAAGAATAGCTCGTTCTGTCATATATTCAGCTGAATTTGCATTTTGTTCAATTGATGGAAATACTTGGTTTAACAATTCAACTTCCGATTGTCCATTTTTGCTATCTTCAATCACAATACTTTCAGGAAGTCTAATAAGTTCATCTTTAGTTGTTTTTTTTGTTCCATTTCCGACACGCAGCAAGAATTTACTGAATTCTTCATCATTTTTTGTTCGCATGTTTATTTTTAATGTTATCTTTTCCATCTTCTCCCACAAATAAGACTTTACTAAGCTGACATTAACTGTTTGGCTCCTTGTTCCTCTTGGAATAACTGGCAACACTTGACGAAAATCTCCTCCAAAAACTACTACTTTACCACCAAACAATTCTTTTGTACTCAATAGGTCTTGCATTGTACGATCTACACTTTCAATTGCTACTCGTTTTGCCATAGGTGCTTCATCCCAAATAATTAGTGCTGCTTTTCTAATCAAATGTGCAGTACCTTCCTGTTTAGATATATTGTAAACTGTTGTCTCAGTGGCACTAATAGGTATCTTAAAACGTGAATGTGATGTGCGCCCACCAGGTAGTAAAGATGTTGCTACTCCTGAAGTTGCAGTTGCTATTGCAATCATTCCTTTTGATCTGACATTGGCAAGTATAGTCTTGTACAAGAATGTTTTTCCCGTCCCTCCAGGACCATCTATGAAAAAAACTCCTCCCTTATTCATATTAACTCTGTCCATTATTATTTCAAAAGATTTTCTTTGATCTTCGTTTAATTTGTACTTACCATCTATATCTTCTTGACAGACTTCAACATCTATCTCATCCTGTATGATTCGTAGATTGCATGATGGATTATCTATTTCATCCTTTTTAAATTTAGGTAAATCAAAATCTTGTATTGTCTTCCTCATGCTCTCTAGGAAATAATTCACTCCCTCTAATGCCCATGCAGTTTGTTCTACATCTGTCGCTATAGATCTTTGAACGAAATCTTCAGAAATTGCTGGTCTATATCTCTCCCATAATAATCTGACATTTGTTGGTTGACAATAAACCAGAATTGTTGCAAATAATCTTCTTAATGCGTATGGCATCTTGAAATTTACTGCTTCATCCAAGCATTCGACGATACTATCGTCGGATTCTAAGAGTCCTCTTTTCTGTGCAGACTCTTTAAAAGTCTTCACAAGTAATCTATCAACAGTGAGTAGGTCATCCCAAGAAGTAGGACCTTTAACATGATTCAATAAAAGCCTTAAATAATATCTCTCCCCCTCTATAGGATTTGCTGAATTTATTCGTCCAATCACAGCATTTTTTTTCCTCTCATTCCAACATTTCTTTCCTACTACCCACACATAATGTTCAGGAAATCTTATTATTAAGTGAGCATACAAGAGTTAGAAAGTCATACTTTCGTAGCGTGATTCGATGGAAGATCGAATAACCCCTAGCTCTTGCTCCTTGTAGTAGAAAATCTCCTTGTAGTGGATCTCCAAGTCTTCAAGTGAGCTTGATAAAATGGGAGTCTTCTTAAGACACAAGGCAAGATATCCACCCCGGGGTTCTTAAAATCCTACTACTTCCTCTTGCTCAAAGATTGCTAAAGTTTAGTAAGAGGAGAGCTCTCTTTTATTCTCTTATGGAAAAAACACTTAGCCAATTTTTCATTAACCTTTCCATAAGAAAAAGAGCTCATATTTATAGAGTGAAATGTGTTCATGATATGAATGACTCATCCTATGAGTCATGCAATGAATCATCAAAAATTAATGATTAATCAAGTGAGTCATGCAATGAATCATCTTATGAATCATTACATTTCAAAACCATGTGCTAATAAACCATGTGCTCAAACCATACCACTAAGTGACTCATCTCATGACTCATTATACATGGTATGTGTATTTCATAAATGAGAATACCAAATTATTATCACTAATACAGTATTTCATAAATACGGTATATAGTATTATTCCAATCTTTAACTAATTAGTCACTATATGACCAAATAAATCAAGAGTTGACCAAAAGTCAACTGTTGACCAAAAAGTCAACTAGTTGACTAAAAGTTAACTTTATGGGAAAAATACTGGAATTCATTTCCTAAGCACATAGCATTCCGATTTTACCGATATACATAACCGTTTATGTGTATCCGGAAGAAATCATATATGCGTATCAATCATACGCATCACTCCATAAATTGTGTTTCATAGGATTCAAGTACGCGCTTGGTGTGACTCTAGGGCCCAACTTAAAAAACTCGGTAGTGGATCATATCCATAAGTACAACAGAGGTGCTAGCTACACATGAAGACCACCCGGGTATAAGTTGTGATAAAGGTCTGCAAGATGCTTATCCAATTTTATCAGGACCACTCAATGATAATACCGTACAGTCCGGTCTCTTCGTCAAACCATGTCAAACTATTGAGCCTAGGGTATGGCAAACTGTCAAACCCTAATAGCTTGATTAGTGTTTATTGATATTAAACTCATAACCAATAAGATCAAACTGACACTCAGTTTATCTTTATTCACCTTGGCCAAGGATTTCCAGGTTATAGTTATATCAAACAATCTTATGACATCAACCCCTATACTGGGAGAGACGAATCCCTTCTTGGCATCTCAATATCTACTTATGTCTCGGGATGTACCCAACAAGAACCGTTATGCACAATTCAATAAGAACTGTGGTTAGGTAAAAGTCTAAATACATCTTTACTGACATATAAGATATTGCACTCATGCCTCAGGTCAAGAGACTACTATGTACTATATCACTTGAGAACTTCTATTTGACAGTTAAGTATATTACCAACTAGATGTTCTCGGCGAGTCGTTCAGTCAACTCATTCACTAATGAGTCACCTGTATACTGTATCTTGATGTCTCACATCAATGATCTAAGAGATTGATCATCTCCTTCAAAAGGAGAAATAAAGCATACACTAGTCTAAACCAAAGTGATGATGTCCTATCTCAACACTTCATCAACTAGGAACATTTTAGAATATACGTTACCGACTAATCAGATCTCTTCATTACGATCACTATCCGAAATGTCTGATAGTCTAGTATTTATTCTAAGGACATTATCTGTATATTTAGAACATCAGATAAATCTGACCAAAATAGCATACTATCATTTTGAACAAGGATGTTATATACATATAGGTCCTGTTACAATATACAATAATTGCCTGCAGGGCACCTATATCTAACAATTGTTTGATCTCATCTACTGGATGTGTTGCCTCATTTGACGCAATGCACACAGCTGCTTTGTCATGCCCTTTGTATATATATTTATAAAGATATTTTACAGCCTTAAGTCCAGAGCATACTTCAACATTGACATGACAATTATACCTACTTAATAGGTAAGGATTGTATGGAACAATCCATTGATTGTCTAAAATTGTGTTACGTACAAAAATTTTCTTTCCATCATTCCTTCGCATATATATTGGATAACCATCACCCCCTAAACTTGTCTTTGAACAAAAAGGACGTGGGTAGTGATATTTACATTTTCCGTCAACCATGCATGGACTTGTTTTCCTCAACGATCCACAAGGGCCATGAACCATATGTTTTACCACCTTCACATGCAACATTGGAAATATTGATTGATCTGGTAATTCTGCCGATATAAATTTATCAAAATGATCTGGGCTCATTAGCTTATATTCATGTTTCAAAATTATTAATATATGAGCATGTGGAAGTCCCCTTTTTTGAAATTCAATGACATAGACACGTGCAGCTACTTTACCAAATACTCTTTCTTAAATCTTTAAGATCCTCTATTTTCCCTCTAAAAACTCTAGAAGAAAGATCTGGTCTATCCTGTGCTGTTTGTCCATTTAGAAGCTCATTCCTTATTTCATCCCAATCTGGATTACATGTTATTGTAATGAATAGATCCGGTTTACCGTATCTTTGAACAAGAGCCATAGCGTCCATATAACGACGCCTCATATCTCTTGGTCCTCCAATGAAAGATGGCGGTAAAACAACTCTATGTCCAACTTGATCTCCACGTGTTTCCCCAGCAGTAACACTATCAACAATTCCTTTATACAATTCTACTCTTATATTCGATTGTTGTTTTCTAAAGAAATCAAGTCGCGTTGTCTCTAACTTCACATACATGTCCACAGCAAACTGTTGAAATAGTCATCCAGCAAGTAGCAAAATTGATTTTATTGGATTCCGAATTTGAAGCTTGTAGCAATAATACTCCCTACAAGAAACATATTGCCCTCCTTGTCTTTCGATATCTGTTAAAAGTTTAAAAAATTTTAGAAATTGATAAGATATGATATATTTTACTTATGAGATTAAAATTTGAAGTTGGTTTTACCTTGTGATTCCTCCTCATTAAGCTGTCTAGCTAAATCCAATGTTTGACTTTCTTCGGTCATATTTAACCGTATTCTTTCGTTCCGACCTTTGTAGATAAATTGTTGCCATCCACTCTCACCATTTGGAAATAAATTAAATCGGATATTGTAGAGGATCATAACAACTATAATAATGTTTGACTTGATGCCTTTGTCCAGAGTGCTCTTGTATTATAATCTCTCTATTTAATGGTTCGTTTGGATTGTATCCTTCTATCCAAATTGCTGCCACTTGCTCTGCTGTTGGAGAGTTATAAATCCTTTGATCAAGATTGGTGTTCTTAGATATACAGATTTGTAATTCTCTCAACGTTGGTACATCTTTAAGCCTCCGTAGAATTTTCGCATAAGGATTGTCTTCTAGGATTTTCATTATAGTCTTCATTGTATTTTCTGATAATTCCCCTTCTTGGAAAACATTCATCCTATTTTGCAATTCATTATCCGTGTCATAAAAATATAACTGGAAGAAGCTAGGTCTATCATTTTGTTGTATCAATCCAGGCAAACTATGGTAAATCTGACCTTGCGCTCTAAAAGTGTATATTCCATCCCTTGACGATGCCAAGTTTTTATCAATTGTTACCCCAAATGAGGTGAATGAGAAAACACTGTTGTATGCTCTAATGTTTCTCCTAAACTCAACACCCTCATTACAATCCGATGTTAGCAAGTTATATAATTCATCTGGGATACAAGGTTCCACAAGTACTGTTTCTCCATTATTACAGCAAAAAGATGGACTCTCATATTCAAATTTCATTGCTCCACAATGAATGCAACTTGCTATCTTTCCAAGCTTGTGTAGTTCTGAACAAGACGGCCTTGATATATTTGTTCCTATACGATTGCAATATGTTATTAGTTAATTTTGTTTATTGTAGAAACTTAAATTATTATATTTATAAACTTATCAAAGCTCACCGTTGCATTCAACTTGGTAATTGGATGCTCGTTCTAGCCAACGTGCACTTCTTTTCATTGATTGATCTTCTGCATTTGGACTACTATCCATAGTCCTCTTTATTCTCTTATTTCGACACATCCTTCCAATATAAGCTTCTCTTTCCTTAGTAGTTAACGCATTGTAGTAATTTTTCCTCTTCATTTTCTTTGATGCTGTTGATAAATTTATATGAATATATTAGAATTATTTGTTATTGATTATCTGGAGGATGCATTAGAAAAATTAAATTTGTTCGACTAACCTTCATTTGGTTCCATTTGTTTTTCCAATTGTTTTTCACGCAAACTTGTTAGAATATTATTTGAACTGCAAAAGAATTGAACATTAATTTATTTTTCATATTAATCTAGTACATACATATAATAAACTTAAATTTTAAATTTTAAATGTTTTGAATTCATTTATTATGTGTGAAATTTCATGATGTAGTTAAATTCAATTAGTTAACATAGTAATTGCACACTAATAAAACTAATGTTATAATTAATATACGAATAATATAAAGCATTACTTTTGAAAAGGAAATGTACATTGTTTTCCTTACTGTAATTGTTGTTTGATCTTAATCTTGCATTCTAACAAAAATATCGAAAATAAAAAGTTAGTACAACCATATATGAAAATAAATTTCTTTGGTTTAATTATTATTACAAGGCATATTGTTGTTAGGCGTCAGATATCTTGCAGTCCATTATCCCATACTTTATTAATATCTGCTGAATCTTAAATGTTGTGTAATTTTGATTATTAAAAAGTCAACCATGGAAGCATATCAGAAACTAAATCCTACCCTTGGTTGTGGAAACCTGTAGGAAATGGTAGTTTGTATGGCGAAGGATGTCAACAATGACTGATAAACAGCCATTTATTTAACATTAATTTACATAAAGTTTTAATATGATACTCAATGTTGGTTTTAATAATCAAACATAAGGGATGGATAGTATCATACAATAACATGTTTCACTTGAATAAAATAATCAAGTAAGATGAATTGATAAGCTGCTTTATTATCATATGATCTTGGGCTAGGAATAAAATATTCCACTTGAATTAAATAATTAAGTAAAGTGAAAAGGATGAGCTGCGCCTTAAGTAACATCAACATAAATATGAAAGTATGAATTAATGAAGATATGAAAATATATAATTCAAAGAAGGCATAATTAGGTTATGAATGGATGAGATCGATTCAAGTAATTAATAGTAGTAAACAGCCATTTATTTTACATTAATTTACAGAAGGTTTTCTGCTTTGATGATATCTGGTGAAGCTGTTGCACGTACAAACTATATAAAGTATTATTTTTGTAAAGAAAATGTACCTTATTTTCCTTGTAGTTGTTGGTTGTTTTTAAACTTTAGACCTAGCTTTATATATATACCTAGATTAAAAAAAGAAAATTAAAAGTTAGTAGTATATTTTACGCATTTGTTCAAGGTATCAAGTGTTCAATTTTATATTGAAGACCTACAAAAGGTCATAACATTTCATCCTTAAAGAAACCTTGTGAAGCTCTAAAGATAAACTAATAACTTTGAAAACCATATAATTTAGATATGTATAAATATTTAAAAATAAAAAAATTAAAGAAAATTCCCGAAAATCTAAAAGTGCATTTGATGATTTAAAGAGATCCAAATAACTGTCTAATTTAGATATGTAATCGTCACATAACACCGAAGACGACTGGATGAGTCAAAGAGTCGTCGCCTTCGAGAAAATGAGCTAAAATTGAACATAAGTATTGAAGTATCATTAATACTTCACACAAATCCATAAGTATTGAAGTATCATAAATCATTAATGGCTAAAATTGAAGTATCATTAATACTTCACACAAATCCATATCATTCATAAACCTGATGGTAAAGAAATATAAAGAGGTAAACATAAGTTTTTTCACATAACTTAAGCTAATTAAAACAACTGAAATTTATAAAATTTTCCAACAACATGGTTCACAAACTCATAGACCTTGATTTATTTTATTGACTTGACATTTATTTTTCTAATACTTGTCTCAACTCATTTTTTTTTCCTCCTGACGAAACTTCCATATAGCTGCTAGAATTTCCATAGCTTCAGCAAACAATTTATCTGCTTCTTCTTCATCTTTGATTTTAACAGCAAAAGGGACATTAACTTCAGGAGTAGCAGGAGCATCTTCGCTAGGTACATAATCAGTATCTGAATTTTCAACCTTCACTTTTTTGTTAACTTCAAAAGAACTCTCCTCATCATCATCATCATCATAATACTTCTCAATGGAAGGTTCTTCTTCATAATCATTTGATGAAATTTCTATAATTTCCTTGTCATTAACAAACTTTTTAAATTCTTATTGTTTAGGAACTGATTTCCGGGCAATACGTTTCAACAACATCTGTTATGAAACCATGAAAGGAATTATTAATATAACTATAATATAAGTATTGACATTATAGAGATCATATTGGCTGCCACAAACACTATAATAACATGATAAAGCAAGGAAGTATTGAAATAAAACAAATAAGTATAAATGTTCAAGCTCGAACTTTTGCAGTTTAAAGCAATGAAACATAATAGATCGAAGATGATTCTGAATGGGATGTAATAGACTCTGTGATTGTGCAAGTTCAATGTGTTAAGTAGAAGTTGAACATATTTTGGTTAGTTAAAGAAGATATGTGGAACTTGTGTTTATGTAGTAAAGAATGTGGCTCATTGGACCTGAGAGGATACCGTGGCACTGGAAAATAATTGACCTTTTCCACACAGGCAACAACTGCAATTTTTTCCTAATCTAACATAATAATATACTGTAAAATATACTGTATTAATACAAAGTTGGATAATTACGTAACCTAACATAATAAGATATGTGAAAATATTATATAATTAATATTACTGATACCAATTAACTCATAAACAACTATATATTATAACTGCTTATATATGACTCATAACAGATATAAATATTTGTACTGATATGAGTGAATATGATGCAACTTTCACGTAATATACAACTACTGACAGATGTAAGATATACATTAAAACTATATCTAATAACATGTGTAGATATGCCACTTATTTTCATTCTACAATCTGACTTTATTATAATACATGAATACATAATGCTGTGCTACCTACACTTAATTATTCTAACATCTTGGCATTTACATTAACTATGTAATTCAGTTTGACATAAGCATATGCTATAGCAAAACTTGGTAATGGACTTGAAGATATAATGTTCATGAATTTAGCAAAACTTTGTTTATGAGCATAAATATAACTAATGATTGATTTTTCTATCTGTTCGCTAGTATTTGCATATGTGGTTCATTGAAGCTATTTTTTCGCATTCATAAAACATACAAACAAATATTATGTCAACACTTCTCTGGGTCTTTTGATTTCCTAGAAATAATAAACGTGCTGTTGACGGTAAAAATTCATTGTCTAGAGTATTCATATGAACAGGTTTATATGTTAGCCTAACTCCTGTTCCCATTGACATGAACAGACAGACTCGTCTAATCTGTTTAACATCACCAAAAGTTGTGTATCTGCAGCAGATACACACAATACTGTGTGTACCTATCTGCAGCAGATACACAGTATTGTGTGTATCTGCAGCAGATACACACAATACTGTGTGTATCTGTCTGCAGCAGGTACACACAATACTGTGTGTATATATGTTGCTGCTGCATATGCACAGATACATACTACTTGCTATTGCTTTTTTCCACTACCTTAATCTGTTTAAAGCCCATTCGGTTCTGAGTTTTTAGTTTTTATTTTTTTGATGTTATGATGTACCAGATGTGGGCATGAATCATTTACACACATAATTAACAAGGGAATCACAAACCATTTGAGCAAATAAGTTGATACTTGAATTTGTTAGTAAAGCACATAATGTATATGAATGGATGTGAATATAGACTGGATTCAGATATATAATATCCAGAACGTAATCAAATAGAAACATTTATATATGCTTCTCAGTCTTGACACAACACAACGACATGAGCAGTTAAACAGCAGAGATAATTTCATATATATTCACGAGTACAAACTACAAGTCCAGGACCAGAATGCACTCGCTTTATACACCCAGGTAATGAAATCTGACATGTTTATCAGGTCAATTCAGTACTTCCAGAAATGTAGTATATAACACCAGATGCACTTATTAAGAGAAAGCACTGCAACTATTAAGAGAAGTATTATTAAGAGAAAGCACTTATGTACAGCTTTTTATATAACACCATATGCACTTTAAAAAAATGTAGGATGTATGAATTGCAAGCAGTTGAATTGACCTATCCGAATTAGCTTCTTTTTAGTCGTTGGCCAGTGGAATCTAAGTATTCACTTGCAAAGATGTAGAATAATATATTTCTACATTTTTGCAAATACACAATATAGAGATTATGAATGGATCCTCAGTATACACAATATAGAATAATAATCTGATTAAGATTTATTTGTAATAAAAAAGATGAGGTAGAAGAATGGATCCTCAGTTTTGCTTGTTCCATTTTGTTGTAATCTGTTTATCTACTTTACATTCATATCCGAAACCATTTATACAGATAATTTGCTGAGAAATATAGCATTTGATATCCACTAAAATCAAATACAATTGATTATGAACAATGACCCTATTCACTACAAGTTGATATGGACATTGACCTTAGAGATGGATTGGGATCCTCTACTAATGAAGAGTTTCCTAATATCTCCTAATGGAATCTTGGCCTTTGATTTATCAATCAAAGGTCAAGATCTCTTTATTAGGAGATATTAGTAGAGAATCCATTAGTAGAGGATCCCAATCCCTTAGGGATATAGACAAATACCGAAGTGAATAAAACGGCCAATTCATTTGGGTAATCGGTAAGGGACAAGATTCTAACAGGTATGCTAATATATGCATAGCAGTAAAGGCATGACAGTTAATTAGGACAAACAGGTTTCAAATAAAGATAATCCATATCCATAGAAATAAAATTTTAGAAATCATAGAAATAGAAATAGAAATAAAATAAAATTTTGATTTACCTTGATTGACAGCTTTCTACTCCTCCAATCAACCCCGGTCACCTAACAACAACAATCAAATAAAGATAATCCATCAAAAAATCAAACTGGTAATTAAAAAAATTACATTACAAAATTACAAAAATTACAAAAAGGTAATAAGAATAACCAATATCCATATCCATACTTACAATTGGAAGAAAACCCCTTCGTTGTTCCATCAAAATTGTAGCGGAAGGTATTTATAGAATCTATTTGGACGTTTTCAAAGAGAGAGGGAGAGGGGAAGGGGAGAGGTCGTGTCGGTGTTGAGAAACGGCAGAAAAAGAGAGATGAATAGGCGGTTGCGAAGGGGGTTTTCAAAGAGAGAGGGAGAGGGGAAGGAGAGAGGCCGTGCCGGTGTTGAGAAACGGAAGAAGAAGAGATAAGAAGAGGCGGATGCGAAGGGGATAAAAAATGGGAAGAACAAATTTTTTAAACAGACCCATTTCAATTTTTAATTTTCAAAACCGACTCTTTTTTTTTTATTTACCAAAACCGACCCGATTTTATGATTAGCAGATTAATCACCTTCCTAAATAGTCGGGGGTGGCAACCCCGACTATTTAGGACGGTGTTAAACCCTAATTAGAAGCATTAAACCCTAAAAATTAATGTCCTAAATAGTCGGGGTTGCCAACCCCGACTATTTAGGAAGGTGATTAGTCTGCTAATCACAAAATCGGGTCGGTTTTGGTAAAAAAAAAAAAAAAAGTCGGTTTTGAAAATAAAAAGTTGGAATGGGTCTGTTTAAAAAATTTGTTCAAAATGGGAAAGTTTTAGCCATGAGATATAATTATTATAGATTATAATAATAGTTATATTGGATGGGATATAATTAGAATTACAAAATTTGAAGGGGATAATTTGGGTATACAAAAGTTTTGACAATGGTTTTCTCTTTTATAAGTAGTATAGATATAGATATAGATATAGATTATTAAAAGGACTTTCCTATCACAACAATTAGCGTTAACCCTTTATCCCTCTAATTTTTCCACAGTATAACCCCCTTCTCTGCAATTGTTTATTATTGTCATTAAAAAGGACTTTATTATTACACCATATTAATGATAACCCTCTATCCCTCTAATTTCCCCACTATAGTAACCCCCTTCTCTACAATTGTTTATTATTATCATTATTAAAAAAGACTTTATTATTACAACATATTAACGGTGATGACTAAAATGAAGTAGTTATGCTAATGAGGTATTGTTAATATATAATTATCCCTCTAGAAAACTTCATGCTATCGAATTAATTAATTCTCAATGTTATTTGTGTTGTGAAACTAACGAAGTAGAGAAGAAAAGTAGACGAGAAGTAAAAAGAAATTTTATTTCATTCGTTCTTCATTGCTATCACAAAGTGACGTAGGAATACATCTATTTATATATAAACTAAGATGATGATACATGAATCATATTAATTACTCATTCATGAACTTAGTCTTTCAAGAACATGCATTGTGTTGTTCTAGAAAGAAGGTTAATATACTAGGAGAATATCAACTTCTTGGGAAACTAAATGAACATCCACATTATTTCATGACACTCTCTCTTGGATGTCCAACATTACACAAAGAATATGCCTCGTTAAAACCTTACTAGGAAAAAACCCAGTGGGAAAAAATCCTAATGAAGGAAAAAGAGTACATTATTCTTGTGTATTAGTTTCTCCCCTTGATTCAAATATCATTTGAGATCTTTCAACCGACGCATTCCAATATCTTTTACCAATTTCTCAAAAGTTACAGTCGGTAATGCCTTGATGAATAAATCTGCCAGATTATTACTCGATCGAATTTGTTACACAACGATTTCACCATTCTTTTGCAAATCATGTGTAAAGAAAAATTTTGGTGAAATGTGTTTCGTTCTATCTCCTTTAATATATCCTCCTTTTAATTGAGCTATACAAGCTACATTGTCTTCAAACAATATCCTCCTTTTAATTGAGCTATACAAGCTACATTGTCTTCAAACAAAATAGTCGGAGGATTTTTATTTTCAGGAGACAATCCACTATTCTTCCGGATATAGTGGATCATTGATCTTAGCCAAATACATTCTCGACTGACCTCATGAATTGCAATTATTTCAGCATGATTCGAAGAAGTGATAACAATTGATTGTTTCATAGATCGCCATGAATTAGCGATGTCACCACATATAAATAAATAACCAGTTTGAGACCTTACTTTATGCGGGTCAGATAAATACCCAGCATCAGCATATTCAAGCAATTCAGGTCGAGAATTATAAGAATAAAATAAGCCAAGATCAATTGCCTTGGAGATAACAAAAAATATGCTTTATATCGTTCCAATATCGTTTTGTAGGAGATGAACTAAATCTTGCTAATAAATTCACAGAAAATGATATATCTGGTCTTGTACAATTAGCAAGATATATTAGTGCACCTATTACACTGAGATATGGTACTTCAGGACCAAGAATCTATTCATCTTCTTCTTTTGGTCTAAAAGGATCCTTAGCAAGATCAAGTGACCTGACAACCATTGGGGTACTTAATGGATGTGCTTTATCCATGTAGAACCATTTTAATACCTTCTGGGTATAAGTAATTGGTGAACAAAAATCCTATTTTCTAAATGCTCAATTTGTAAATCAAGGTAAAATTTAGTTTTTACCAAAATCTTAGATCTCAAATTCTTTCTTCAAATATTTAATCGACTTTTGGAGCTCTGCAGGAGTTCCAATCATATTAAGATCATCAACATATACAACAATGATCATAAAATTTAAGTCACTCCTCTTTATAAAAACACATGGACATATATGGCCATTTGTATAACCTTCTTTGACTAAACATTCACTAAGACGGTTATACCACATTCGTCCAGCTTGCTTGAGTTCATACAAATATCTTTATAACTTAATAGAGTATATTTCTCTAGGATTTGATTTACATGCTTCAGGCATGCTAAATCCTTCAGGGATTTTCATATAAATATCATTATCTAATGTTCCATATAAATAAGCAGTGACTACGTCCCTCAGACGCATATCAAGTTTTTTATGTATAGCTAAACTCACAATATATCTAAATATAATTCCATCCATTACTGGAGAATATGTCTCATCATAATCAAATCTCGGTCTTTGTGAAAATCCTTGGGGTAATTCCATCCATTACTGGAGAATATGTCTCATCATAATCAAATCTCGGTCTTTGTGAAAATCCTTGGGCTACAAGTCTTGCTTTATATCTCATCAAATCTCGGTCTTTGTGAAAATCCTTGGGCTACAAGTCTTGCTTTATATCTCACAATTTCATTTTTCTCATTTTTTTTCCTCACAAATACTCATTTATATCCTACTAGCTTTACACCTTCAGGTGTTTGGACTACAGATGCAAAAAATTTCTCATAGATTGGATCGCATCTTTCTATTTTGACCAATCATTTATTCGAAGATATTTATCAACTGATCTGGGATCATGATCCTCGTCATCTTCCATAATATCAAGTCCTACATTATATACAAATGCGTTATCGACAATTACTTCTCTTTGGTTCTTTCCCGTAATAACAAAATTTATTGAAGTTTCATTTTCTTCAGGAGTTGGCTCTTCAGGAGCGACCTCTTCAGGACGTTGAATTTTATCATTAGCAATATTTTGATCACTCGATCCTCTTTTCTTTCGAGGATTCTTATCTTTGGAACCAAGAGGTCTACCACGCTTCAGGCGTGCTTAAGATTCGTTAGTACTTTTAATTTGTCCTTTTAGGATATTAATTTTAATTAGAGCATTTTCTGCTGGAATATGTGATTTAGTAATTCTTCTAGAATCACCAAAAGCATCCGGTAATTAGTTTACAATTTTCTGTAAATGTATAATCCTTTGAACTTCCAGTTCACATTCTTTTGTACGAGGATCAAGAAAGTCTAATAATATTTTCCAAGTAATTTCCTTTTTTGGTTGATCTTTACCTCCCCCTAATACCGGGAAAGGTGATTTATCAAAATGACAATCTGAAAATATTGCAGTAAATAAACCACATGTTAATGGTTCAACATATTTAATTATAGAAGGTGATTCATACCCGACATATATCCCTAATCTTCTCACATGTTAATGGTTCAACATATTTAATTATAGAAGGTGATTCATACCCGACATATATCCCTAATCTTCTTTGAGGGCCCATTTTAGTACGTTGAGTTATAGAAGGTGATTCATACCCGACATATATCCCTAATCTTCTTTGAGGGCCCATTTTAGTACGTTGAGGCGGTGCAATAGGAACATATACCGTACAACCAAAAATTCTTAAATAAGAAATATTGGACTCGTGACCAAGAACTAATTATAAGGGAGAATAAATATGATAACTTATCAGCCTAATTCTCACAAGTGTTGTTGCATGTAATATAGCATGTCCCCAAGCAGATAAAGGAAGTTTAGACCTCATTAATAATGGTCTTGCAATTAATTGAAGCCGTTTAATAAATAATTCGGCTAGACCATTTTGTGTATGAACATGAGCTACATGATGTTCAACACTTATCCCAATAGCCATGCAATAATCATCAAAGGCATGTGATGAATATTCACCAGTATTATCTAGATGAATTTTCTCAATGGGATAATCAGGAAATTGTGCTCACAATTTAATTATCTGAGCAAGCTAGGTTGTGACTAGATAATAAACTTACATGTGACCATCTTATTGATACATCAATTAGTACCATAAAATATCTAAATGGTCTACATGGCGGATCTACAGGCTCACATATATCACCATGAATTCGTTCTAGAAATACAGGGGATTCAGTTCCTACTTTCGTTGGTGATGGTGTAATAATTAACTTCCCTTGGGAGCAAGCAACACATGAGAATTCATTAGAATTTAGTATTTTTTTGATTTTTTAATGAATGGTCATGTGAATTTGTAATTATTCGCCTCATCATTATAGAACTAGGATGTCCAAGGTGATCATGCCAAATCATAAAATCATTGGGATTAGTAGACTTCTGGCCTTTAAGGTGATATATTTCAGCTGTACTTATTTTTGTATAATATAAACCAGAAGATAGAGAAGACAGCTTTTCTAATATACATTTCTTCTCAGAAATGGTTTTTGTAACCAATAAGTATTCACCATTTGTCACATTCATCGTCTCAATTTGATATCCATATCAAAGGATATCTTTAAAACTTAACAAATTTCTTCGAGACTTTATCGAGAGTAATGCATTATTTATGATAATTTTAGTTTTTTCGAGGAGAAATACAGTGGCTCTTCCGGAGCCATCAATCAATTTAGCACTACCACTTATTGTGTTAACATTTATTTTTTCAATTTTCAAATGAGAAAAATACTTCACATTTTTAAGTATAGTGTGTGTAGTAGCACTATCAATGAGACAAGTATTATCATCACCATT